TTTAAAGTTATAACTTTTGTGCCGTTCACTAAATTCTCTTGACGCTTGCAGAATACTGTTACTAAACCAATTTAAGACACGTAGATTATTGGTAAATTGATGTGCTACTCATTTGTAAAAAAAATTAAAAGAAATCGTAAAGTTAAAACTACGATGGATTTGCCCATATAATTGTATAAATTTATATATATTTATATATGACGTTCTTATATGAAAAATGTTTTATCGCATAACTTGTTAAAAAACTCAATTTTTCATCTTTAATTACCGTTTCGGCTCTTCTTATATGTCATAATTGGAACGCTCCTGATATTGTTGGTATAAAGGCACCGTCATTACCTACGCGCGCAATCGTTACCATTGAACAGCACCATGCCCCTTCAAAATCTGCTATGCAACCCGTCATACTGCCTAGTATGTATCCGTAACACCCTGTACAATCATTGCCGGATTCATATCTTATAATATGTAACGACAGTATTCAGAAGCTGGAGCTATCGTTACTTTTTTGATAATTCTGCATGCTGTGAATGTATGAATTCCTGCGAAATCAGCAACAGCAATTTGAAAAGCTCCTGTTGCATAAAAACATAATGTCAATAATAACTGATGGATTGGCATTATTGCATTATTTTTGGAAAAATAGAAACAATTTTATAAGAACATTTCTATTCCAAGATTGATAAAAGAATTTATTTTATTTTATTAATAACTATTTTATTTTATTAATTATGATTGCTTCAATGTTTTTGTCTTTATCTTATCACAAATAAGATTAGCTATTCTAAGAACTGTTTCTTTACATAACCTAAACCGTGTAATAAATTCGCGTTTATCATATATATTTAAAAAATCAGGTCGTGGCCGAACAGTGTATGGTTTGCGAATTAAATTGAATATTTCATAATCGTAATTATCTTCATCATCATCTTCAAACAGTTCTTGATAAATATTTCGAATATCCATGTTCTTAAAAAATTACTAATAGCGTAATATTTTATAGCTTCTAGCAAACGACACCGAATCAGAACCTAAAATATCCCATTTACCTGCTAGATAGAAGCTTTACCTGGTGGTTCGAGTAGCGAGTAAAATTACCTTTTAGTAATGGCAATTTAACCTATAAGTTAACGTACGCAAAAAATGGAAAAACAGTTATTGATGTTTACCTGATAGGCACCTGTCAGATGGAACTTACCAGGAAGTTGGAACAATCGGCCCTTGGACACATAAATATTAGACTAATTCTAACCCTAACCCTAACCTAATCCGGCGGCGGCGGCGGGTGAGGGCCGCCTCGCGGCGCCCTCTCCCTCCCTCTCTCCACCTCCTCCTTCTGCCGTATGACGCTGCTGCAGAAGGAGACGGCCGTCCACGCCCTCTCCCTGCCGACCATGGCCCTAACGACCGCCGGCAGGGAGAGATCCTCGCCTATCTCTCGCCTCAGGACACCACGCTCCTGTGCCCACGCCGGACAGACCTCCAGCGTGTGCTGCGCGGTGTCCCGGGGCTCGTCGTGATGGTGGCACCGCGCCGTCAGCTCCTTCCCGATTCGACACAGGTACTCACCGAAGCACCAGTGGCCGGTGAGGACCTGTGTTAGAAACGAGAGTCGGCCCCAACCTCTGCCAGCCCACTCGTCCAGGCAGGGAAGGATGGCCTCCGTGGTTCGGATTCCCTTGGTCGGCGGGCTGTTCCGCAGGCTGTTGCGCCATTCGCGGAAAACCCGCCGACGGGCCACCTCTCTGAAGAGGTTGCAGGGTTACGACATTCCCCCGGAGCCTGATGGCCTCGGCCCTGGCGTAGGACTCTACCAGAGAGTCGGCCACGTACTCCGGCGGGGGGATCCCCACGAAGACCGCCAAGGCGTCGCGTGCCACGATCCTGTAGGTCCTCGCTATTTGTAGGGCCAGCCGTCTTTGCACGCTGTGCAGATTCTTGCGAATCCGGCGGCTGGTACGGGCCTCGCCGTGCCATATCGGAGCCCCGTACAGGGCCCCGGACAGGACCGCGTGCGCGTACGCACGCCTCACTCCATCTCCCGGACCACGAAGGTTGGGCATCAGGCCGAGTAACGCGTCGGCCCAACGTGGGGCCAAGCCGTCGAAATGATCGGCAAAGCCCCAGCGACCCCATGAGGCCCAGGTACTTCAGATTGGGCCTTACTGGGATGCGGATCTCGTCCACCGTGACCTAGGCTTCGGGAGGCGCCCCGCCAGTCCCATCGTGGAAGAACATGGCTTCCGACTTGGCGGAGGCCACCCTCAGGCCCAGGTCTCTTATCGCGCCGACGACGCAGGCCACCGCGACGTTGACCATCGCCATAGTTCTTCCCCAGGTCCGCACCCCCGACTACAACGAGCGTGTCGTCCGCGTAGCAGACGACTTGTCAGCCAGGGGGCAGAACCACGCGGAGCACAGCGTCGTACGCTACGTTCCACAGCAGGGGGCCCAACACGCCACACGACACGTCCTTCCGCTGCTGGAGTCCTTTTTTGTCATGGAACTCCAGCTGTCTATCCCGGAAATAGTCCTCTACGATGGAGACTAGGTAGGGGGACAGGAGAAAATGCTCCCTCAACGCCCCCATCACCCGGCCCCACGGCAGGCTATTAAAGGCGTTGGCGATGTACACGGACACCGCCAACGCCACCTCCCTATCCGCGGTCAGCTGCTCCGAGAGGGCGCGAACCTGCGCAATGGCGGCTACCGTCGACCGCCCCTCCCGGAAGCCATACTGACCGCGGAACAGATGTCGGACGATGCGGGCCTCGATAACTCGCTCCAACAACTTGCCCAACAACATGGGTGGCACCGGGTGGCACCCAGTTGGACACGGCTCAATTGGACACGAGCCACTCACAGCGCTTGAGACTACAAAGACTCCTAATCACCGGTCGCTGTGATTGGTGGTGTTCAATCGAGCCGTGGTTAATCGGAATCACCTCGCCCACGTCAAGTCAACGATGGACTCCCCCCGTGGCCCTACGAAGGTGCTGACCCGGCCTCTGTTCAGAAGAACGAGGCCGAGTCCCGCCGCCCACTGCAGGGTGCTGTCGCCCCTGGAGTCAGTGATCGGGGACCCCCACTCCACCGAGTGGGCTGAAGTCCTCGTCAAATGGCCGATGCCCCCACACTGGTAGTAACATCCGCTTCTGTCGGCGGTGCTGGTGCACCGCTGCTACACGTGTCCCAACTCTAGGCACCGGTAGCATTGCAACCCCCTGCTGGGGAGCAGCGTCACCCTGCATCTCGACTATCCCACCTTAAGAAGGGGGGCGGCCAACAGTTTTTTGGCGGCCTCCACAGGGCACCTGACCCAGCAGGAGCCCAGACGGGTGGCACTCAGTTGGACACGGCTCAATTGGAAACGAGCCACTCACAGCGCTTGAGACTGCAAAGCTCCTAAGCACCGGTCGCTGTGATTGGTGGTGACCAATCGAGACGTGGTCAATCGGGATCACTCCGCTCCTCTGCCACTTCCTCGGGGATGGCCGAGTCGTCAAGACCCGACACCTTCATTTCGGCCGTCTTCTACGGGCGGGACGCCTTCACGTCGTCCCGAACGCCAAACACCTCGGCCAGTCGGTCGGTCAGGCGGTCCGCCTTAGTACCGCCATCGGGGCCCCCCACCTCCCATATCAGAGCCCCCGTGACGGCTAGCCTCGGCCTGAGGTCCCCGATCCCCAGGTCTTTTAGCGAAACCGAGGACCTCGCCGCCTTCACCACATCCGCGTACTTTGACGTGTTTGCACACGTTAACGTTATCGCCGCGGAGGTGAGAGTTTTTAACTTTGGGAGCCGGGGGGCCCCTCCGGCGGACCCACGGCCGCCAGCGGCATCCGCTCCCCTCGACGCCTTCTTGTTATGGACGCCGCTTCCGGTTTTCCCGGATGCGGTCCCCTTGCCGGGGGACCGCTGAGCCCGCGCCGCCTGGGCCTCTTTTATGGTCTTGGCTGCCGCCCTGCTCTTTCGCGAGGGGGGGGAGGGAGCATCCTCCAGCCGTCGCCACGCTCTCCCTCTACAGGCAGGGGGTCCGACGGCGTCGACAACGACGTCGGTCCGGGCGCGGGCCCCGACGGCCCCCAGCCGCCACGCGGCTGGGCGACGGGCGGAGGGAGACCCCCCTTCCGGGCCCCATCATCCCCGCCCGAGCCTGCGGGGGGGGGGGCAACGCGCCCCGCCCCCACCCTTTCTCAGGCGTTCGCGTGGCCACACCCAGCTCCCGAAGAGGAGGGAGGATTTGTCCGAGGATGTCCTCGAGCGTTGCCCCCCCCTCACCCGGTCGACCATTCCTTTCCACTCCCCGCCGCCCTTCTTCTACTTCTTCTTCTTACTCTTGGGGGTTTGGTTTGGGGTGTCGCCCCGTCGACAAAGGCACCATCCTGTCGCCCTCTCTTGACACGGGGTTCATCTGCCTTGAGGTTCCCCCCACGGCAGGCCTATATCACGGCTGTCGGAGGGCCTCCTCCGTTACGAGCGGCCGGACAGGCAGGGGACTCCCTGTCTGGAGACCCTCGCGGGCAGCCCTGCCCCGCGTCAACACAGGGCTTCGGGAGCCCGCTAAACAGTTGGGCCCGATATGTCCATAGGGAGGACCCTGCGGACAGCCGTCTCGCCTCGCGCCGAGCCATCCTTGCTCCGGCACGGGAGGGGTGATTTGTCTCTTCCCCTCTCCAGTTTGGCCTTCTCAGCAAGGAGGCGCCTGTTCTCGCGGAGGAGAAGTCTCTTCTCCACCGCCCAGGCCCTTTCCTCACGGCGGTCCCTTCCGCCCTCCGTCGACGAGGCACTCACTGACACGTCACCCGCTCGTCTGATGACGGAACTGAGGGCCGCGGTGAGCTTCGTGGAAGCGTCCCACAGGTCCCGAATCGTGGACCCCTTCAGGTTCTTGGACCCCTTCAGGTTCTCCACCGCTTTGGCGATCGCGCCGAGGTCCCGTGTCGCCACGGAAGCCACGACATTGATCGGTTGGGCATCGAAGTCCAAGCTTAGCACCTGTGCGCGGTCGAGAGTCCTCCTGGCCGAGGCCGATTTAGGCTCCATCTCTGGGTTTAGGATGAGGCGGCGGCCCCGCCTCATCTCCTCGGCCCTCCTAATCTCAGCCCGCTGGGCCCTTGTCCCAGCGGTAAACTTGCCCTTATTCCCTGGCCTAAGGGATGGCCTTTTCCTCGATCTCTTGGCGAAGTCCTCTCCCCCGTCGGAGCCCGGGGAAGAGATCACCACCGTCGTCGGTCTCTTATGACTCTCTCCCGCGATGGTCTCCAGCGAGGCGCACGATCCCGTTCTC